CATTTGTAAAAATTATTATATTTCAAACACAACGTTTAAACTAAAATGCTAATTCATTCAATAATTTAACTATTAATATTATATTTTAAATATGTTTCGTACTTATCCTATAAACATATAATAAATCAAGGATGCTTGTTACAAAATACAGAAAAATGTTTCTGTATTTTTTTTTCATTTAGCATATTTCATGAAATATATACTTTTATATGATGATTAAACCCCAGTTTTCAAATTAATAGAAGATAATCTATTTGATTATAATATATGCTTTTAATTCTTGGTCGTCGTATTCAATTGATTTAGTTATACATAGGATGATTTTGACATTTACATAAAACACAAGATATTAACGTGTAAGGCGCATCATTTATAGTTTGTACAATTATCACATAATTTTACAAATCTGGTAATCTACTTTGATACCATTAATAGTAGCTTTCTTTGCACTACTGTGTATTGTCCCATATAACGTTTATTCAATAAACGTTATGCAAAAATTACCTTGAATTTAAGTGCAATGTTGAAGTAAGTATTTGTATAAACATGGTTTGAATATCGTATTTGCATATATTCACATTCATTTGTTTTTATATGATGCGCATATTCGATCTGTATTTCAAACATATTACTAAATGATACGATTTAAAATTAAATTTTTAAATAAAACAAATTAATGTTGATTTAAAAAATTTTTCTGTAAGAATAGATGATAACTTCTTTAATACATAGGTATATTTGATTATGTAATTCTACAATATTATAAATTTGTGCTTTACACAAATAAGTTCAAAATTTTCCACGATATCCTCCACGGCCACGATAAGGTCTTCCTCCAGAATGCTTTCCTCTATATATATGTGGTTTTATAAGAGGGCTTGATCTACCTCTTAACATTTTTCCTCTTCCACGCCAATCTGGTCCTCTTTGGAATGTATGCTCCAATTCTAGTTCTTCGTCTGCAGAATCTTCTAACATCATAGGGCTTTCACCACGACTATGATCACTTCTATTATCATGAAAATCATCACGTTCGTTTAAAGAGTGCCTGTAGTTGGGCGAGTATCTTTCACGAACATAATGATCTCGCATAGATCCCTTGTGACTGGAAAAGCTATCCCTATTCCTTATCGGTGATCCTAATTTCAAATTTCTTGAATTGTGATCTATAGAAGATGCGGAATCGACACGATGATCACGATCATCGTTTCTTCTAGGAGGGGATACTGTTCTATTCCAAGGTCTTTTTTGGGACGAATTACTTAAACTCCATCTTAGATCATCCGCTTCTCGATATTTAGGTGTATAATCGAATGTTTCACGCACATTCCAATCTAAACGATCCATAATGGGTCTCTTTTCTTCCTTATTAATGTGTTGTAAATCTTGAGGATAAACTTGTACTTCAAAGTCTACCATGGTAACAGTTGCTTGAACAAACTTTGTATTTGTTTCTATTTCATCGGTTTGACAAATTTTTTGATGCATTTGTACATTTTGTTTTACTGGTGAAAGATGTTGACTTTCTTCCTCTTCCCAATAGATCTTGCTCTTACTCCGTTGCAAAAGTATAGAGTTTGATGAATATTCTTCTTGCTCATTTTGCACATTTTGCTTTATAGGGTCATAGAAGAATCGCCCCTTCATCTTTAAACGGGGATCTTCCGTAGGAAGTTCACGCAGGGCATGTTCACAATGACGCATTATTTCAGGTTTGAATCCTATTACAGTAAGAAACATAAATTTACACAAACTTAAGGTCATATTATTTTAAATATTATACGCACGATAATTTGAAACATTAAAATTGTATGTTTATCGTTTATATGCTATTTGTTAACAGATTTTTAAGATTTCAGACTGTAAAAATGTTCTTACCTGGATATAAGACTGGTAAAGTAGCTGAATCTAAAAAGAATGTATAATAAAGTTAAAGGAGTACTGTAATATGTGAAAGTGAACTTCAAGAATAAATAGTCAAACAAATTATATTCGCACCTTTCGCGGAAACAGATGCTTCCAATAGACTGGATAAACTCGTTTTTTCAAACTGCTGTAAGGTAAATTCATAAGACAAGTGTTATTTTCTCCAAACAAAAATTAAACATTTAACTGCAGACTATGTGAAAAAAGCACACAAAATCTGATGTTATCATAGTATAAAGCAAGATAGGTAAATATGTAAAAAAAAAGAACACTGTTACAATATATAATGGAATTACTTTTGTATCAGAGATGACTGGTGGTTCAGGAGTCTTTAGTCGTTCTTCTTGTGAAGGGTGATATCCATTATAAGAATCTCGAAAACTACGTTCCCTGTAGGATGGAGATATTTTCTCTCTAGATTTATTTGAAAATTCAAAATTTTGAATTGGTGATTGTCGCGTAGCGGGAATCCCATGCGATGAATTATATGCTGCTGGTGGATGTTCCATGGATCCTGCGCCAAGTTCTGGTTGTGGTGAAGATATTGGTGCTGGAAGAAGTGGTGGTCGATGCGTAGGTTGAATTGAACTCGTATTTGGTTGGTTGTACATTACTGGGCCAGAAACGTATTCAGTTTGAGGTAACGGATGTATCGATACAGGTTCAAAATTCATTGGCTGAGATGAATTTTCGAAGTTGATAAATGGTGGACCACTCGATGAAACACCTGATGACATTGGAGGCGGTGGTGGTGGCTGTAATCCAGTTTGATGCATGTAAGGTGGCATAGGCATTGGCGGTGGTCTAGACTCTCCTTCTTGTTGATATGGAACAGTATTCATCATTGGTGATATGCCATCCATTGATGGAGGGGGTGCGTAACCAGTATTTATATGTGATGTTACTATTGCTTCATTTCTTAGTTGCCTTGTAAGTTCATTGATAAAAGGCGACCGCTTTCTTGTACGACGTTCTATCGATCTACTCCGACTTCGACTCCGTCGACGAGGACTGTAACGTCTAATTGGTGATCGGCTGAGTTTTCTTCTAATGCGTTCCATACTGCGGCTTCGTTGCCGATCCCGTGATCGACTTCTTCGGCTTAACAATTTAAAAGTTGAGTTAAAATACTCTACTACATAAATGAAGGATTTATTAGAATTTTTTGTTATAATTTTATAAAAATATAAATTTTATACAATGTCTGGATCGTATAAAGTTATACAAGTTTTACAAGTAAAATTGACAATGTCAAGACATTGTCTTATATCTATAATAAAAGCAAGAAAAAATATGTTATACATTTTAAAATCTTGTCTTCTCACCGTTCATGTATATTTGTACGTCTTCTATGTCGTTCGGCACTCCATCTTCTATCTGCACTTGTTCTTCGTTCCCAACTAAGACGTCTAACTGGGCTTCTTCGTCGGTCTGGACTGAATGCAAACGGACTTCTACGGACACAGTTAAATCTTGGGCTTCTTCTTTTGTCCGGACTGAATCTCATTGGGCTTCGATGTCTCTCGATACTCATCTTGAAAGGACTTCTACAGCGTTCTGGACTCATTAATAATGGGGATTTTCGACGAGGAGAGTTTAGAGAATTTAATCTGATTCTATCTGGAGTTCTACGTCGTAATGAATTTCCTCCTTGGCGTTCTAAACTCCTACGTCGTTCACGACTTCTACGGATATGCATCTGCGCTTGTTCCAGACTTTGTTTCTCTGCGATACTTTGAATGGCTTCAACTTCTGTACCCGGTGGAACAACATTATCAGAATCTAACAGATGCTTAATAGCTTTTTCCTTCTCAGCTAAAAGTTTACTTTCGTTGTCCCTTTTTGTACGAATTTTATCCCTCTCTATATCCTTTGTGCTTTTAGAAGGGTCACGGCGTATTTCTTCATGTTTTTTTTCTTCTCTCTTTGGTCTTTCACGATTATAGGATCCTCTGTAGTCACGACGATGTCTGTCCCTATAAGTAGGCTTGCAATCATTCTTTCCTATATATTACTAATTACTTAAGGGAAAGAATGTAAATACTTTTAAGTGTATTGAATTAAATATGGTGGTAATACATGATGGAAATGATATATAATCAAAATATAATAAACTCGAATTCTAATATTATTACAATAACATTGTTTAACAAATTTAGTTTTGTAATAAGTAACAATAACAACAATCGGAACATTATTCTACATTACTGATGCTACCTAGAAGGACGTTTTTGTTCTTGATCCTTGATATGAGAAGCCTTAGGCTCAACTTCTTTCTTTTCTTCATCTCCTTCCCAAGCATCAACAACATCTAAGCCTTCCATGAAATCTTCATCGTCAAGAAATTCTTGAAGTTCTTCATCTGGAATTTCTTTTAAACCTTCGATTGCACGTTGTACATCTTCGTTCGTACTCTTTAATGTAGACTCTTTTTTATCAACACTTTGTTTTTCCGTCGATTCATTTTGCACATGGTTTTTGACACTTGTATCTTTCATTTTTTTGGATGTATCACACATATTTCTGAAAGATTAACTAAACTGCTGAATTAATTAAACAAGTAGCATAAAATTTAATATTTTATGCTTTTTATCGACAAAGTCATATTGAATATTTTAAAAAGTAGTTATACCAAAGAATACTATAATGGTATTATATTAACTCTGAATATTTAATTTCACGTAAATAAATTCTATAAATGTATCTTAATTAAACATACTGTTACAGCGGTAATGTATTAAAACGAATTATACTTACACAAAATTCACATTTTATTGAGCTTATTTAATTTTGTTTTTCTTTTATTATACGCTAAATAAAATTATATTAATTTTTTAATATATTAAATCTCAAGTAACGCATTTCTTAACCTTTCGATGAAATATATAAAATTGATATTAACACTCTTATTACGTAAGTAATATTATCTTTATTTAGAATTAAAATTATTTAAAAAATTGTGTATTGTTTCATTTTTTCAATGGCACTTATAATACATTCCTTTTAAAAAGTGAGATTAGTAGTTTGCTAGCAAACTGATTTAATAGATAACGTACGCACTTATTGTTAATAATACTTAGTACAATTAAATACACAACGCGTGGTGTCAGTAATATCAATGTATATCGCTAATAATAATAATGAATAACAACTAACTTGCTGCTCTTTAAATTCTATTATTAAGAAATATTTGAATCCGAAATCTCCGGAACTCGAAAAGTCAACATGTACTACTCCGCCATATTAGTTACTAACAGATTTGGGCTATGGTACTTACGTATTAAACAAGGGCACATTCGTATACGATATTATGCGTAAACTAATAAAAAGAAAAAAATACAAGATTATATATGTAAAGCGGAAAATTTAAAATTAATGTTATGATTTAATTAATTACTACTTATATATTATCAAGTAATACCAATTTATATTTATCCCTTATATTAAGCAGTATATTATGCATACAGTGACTCACAGCCAAAATCGTACATCGTGCAAAAAAATGTGTTTCATATTGTAAAAAAGTTTAGGG